CAGTCTTTGGCGTCTGGTTACTCCAATCTACACGGGTGGTATTCTCCTACATGGGATATGTTTAGCATCGTCCATCGAGTCGCTTCATACGAATGGCACTCGAAAGCATTCTGGCACGCGGTTCGTGTGCCAGTTTTAACATTTTCATTTTGTCTTATATATTGGATAACAGAAGCCCAACTTTTCACGGTAAGATAACATCAATGTTGATTTAAATTGACCATTAAGTTTTGCGTCTGGTTATTCCAGTCTACTCCCGTAACCTTCACTTTTGGGATATGTTTAGCCTCGTTCATCGAGTCGCTCATTACAAATTGCGCCCGAAAGTATTCTTGTCCGCGATTCGTGTGCCAAGTTTAAAATTTTTTATCGTGTCTTAAATATTGGATACCCGAAGGTCATCTTTTCACGGTAAGACAACAACTTCATATTGATTCAAATTGGCTAATAAGTCGTGTTTGCATTGTCGAAGACTGGGTGACGATCATGATACTGAGTTAAAGACTTAGCAACTTTGAATCCCGTGAAATTTTGGTTAATTTGTGAAATATTTACTTCAGCTGAGGATACCTTTGCTTCTAAAAAGTTTGAGGGTACCTTAAAGTAGCTAAGTCTCTAACTCAATATCATCCAAAATCTTCAACATTGAAAACACAAATTATTTGTCAATTTAAATCAACATTGATGCTGTTATCTTACCGGAAATAGATGGGCTTCTGATATCCAATATTTAAGACAAAATAAACATTTTACCATTGGTACACGAAACGTGTACCATAATGCGTTTCAGCCCCAGTTCTACCAAGAGACTCGAGGAACGAAGCTAGACATATTGCACCAAACCAAACGGCGTATGTAGACTGGAATAACCAGGCGCTAGAAATTTGCATTCGATTGAGACTGCTGGCTTATTTCGCGGAACATAACTGATTTGAAATTAGAGTAAAAACGGAAACCATTGAATGTAAATCAGTTTATATACATTCATATTACAGTATTATATGAGTTGCGGCCCACTTGTGTCAATTTCTAGGTCCCAAATGTTAGCGATTTAGCTCCTTTAAGGTGGTGCCGTGGCTATATGCCCGAGTAGTGCCCATTTTTTGACCAATTGAATTATACTTGTATTGCCAACCACTATAAACTTGGGGGGGGGGGGGGCAAATATTTTGTAACTGGTGATCATATTATTTTCTCATTAGTTGTTTGAATATTACACGGGGATCACGTGGCTAAGTGGGTAAGACGCTAGCTCGCTAGCCTGGAGGTCGGGTGTTCGATCCCTGCATTGGCCGAGAAAGTTCATCCAGATTTTCCGGCGTGGTTCCCCCTTGTCAGTGATGCAGGACGGAGGGCCTGACAAGGATAGCTGTCTAGTCCTTCGGATGAGACGAAAAACCGAGGTCCCGTGTATACATTGGAATGCACGTAAAAGATCCCTTGGCAGTTGGAATTCGATATAAGAGTAGGCCGTAGTGCCGCTGTCCGGGCAAAATTTCCCTCATAGCACACTGTATGGCGTATGCCCGTCTTCATTAGCCCAGGTTAGGAGCAGAACAGTAGGACGTTAAACACCATTTCATTTCATTTCATTGAATATTACACAATCTAACGTCTATCTATTATACTGTGGGTTACTACTAGTGATGGGATTTCAAAAAATTTCATGACGGACATTTTTTCCCGAAAATAAAAGGGCATAACTCTTACCGTAATTTAAGCAGACGTTTTCGAAACACAATTAAGAATCATGTGTCAACAAAATATATTCAAATTCATATGTAAAAAAAAAAATAGGTGCACCTCGTTATATTTCATGTTTAAAACCCGTACGGTATTCAAATTTATGTCAATAATATTCCTACAAAATTACATGACATCATATGACCGTAATACTATAGAATTGGCAGCGTGCCGACTGCTGTCGATCTGTTTCAAACTCCCCCAAAATTACCGTATTTTTCGGGTCATACGTCGGTACATTTTTCAGCAAAGTCCGACATTCGTCTGATACTCCGTTTCGATTTATATACGGAAGGTAAAATAATGACATCCCGAAATTTATTTGGCCGTAAACCGTAGTTAACGACGCCCTTAATGAGCGAGTGTAACCAACTTCTAAATAATTGCATTCGACTGTAGGGTTACATGTCATTTGGGACTCACGTCATTTGGGACTCGCGTCATTTGGGACTCAAAAAAATATGACCACGACATTTGGGGCTCGGGTATACGACGTTTGGGACTTTGGTATACGTCATTTGGGACTCGGGTTAACGACGTTTGGGACTCGGGATAATTTATTAGAAATAAATATTAGAAATTCAAAACACGAAAGAAAATATTTATTAACATGAAACACGTGGTTAGTAAAAGGCTCAACCAAACGATAAAACATTAGTTGCACTTACGGTTCTTTGATAATCATCGTTTCTCATAAAAATTATATATTTATTTAAAACGAATAATATGCTGATGAATTTATTTCAAAATGACCTACACAAAAAACAAAATAAATATTTACACGACATGCAATCTTTTTTTACAAGCCCCTACAAATTGTTAACGATAATCCGTGAGCTGCACGTTGACATGCTTGTCGTAGATGGCAATACCAATTGATAAATTAGTGCGTACAAGGCAGTTTTTTTGTGGAAAATATAAGAAATGGCAACGATCAAAGCGGGATAATTAAAGCTGATAATCCCAATGTTATTACAGTATGTTCAAAGAAACCTAACGGTTCTTTGGTGGATGAGGAAAAACGTGAGTTGTCAATCATCGAGAATGGCGGCCGTGTGTTGATTGCAGTTATACCGTTTCACGAAAAAACATTAGCAGTGGTCGGCCAATCAAGCTCGTTTACTATTTGATAAAAGAAAAACACAAATTTTCAACAATATATTATTGTCAAGTTTTATACTCGCAGATAAAACAAAACAAAGGAGAACTAGCAGTGTTAATCGCGGTCTCAACAATCGCCGATCAACTAAATAAAACGAAAGACAACTAAGACAGCTGTTACTATATATCTCATAAATAAATAGTCCCAACTGTCGTTTATATTGAGTCCCAAATGTCGTTTGTGTTGAGTCCCAATTGACGCCAATCAAGTCCCAAACGTCGTCAACTGAGTCCCAAATGTCGTTTATGTTGAGTCCCAAATGACGTGAGTCCCAAATGACGTGATACCGACTGGAGCACGCGCTATCGTCTAAAACAATTATCTACTTACGTCATTCCAATCGAAATATTCGTCAACATTTCTTAGCGTGTTTATTTATTTATTTAAAGACATAAACCCCCTTCAAAATATGATCATAAATCCGACAATATGCTATCAAAATAGAATCTTTTCTTTAATAACACTTAAAAATCAAATATCCCCTACTTTTTTTGAATAGTATACTATTCAAAAAAAGTAGAGGATATTTGATTATACTATTCAAAAAAAGTAGGGGATATTTGATTTTTAGTGTTATTAAAGTCACCTAATGAAACTGACGAAGAAACAAATGACAAAATGAAATGAAGTTCACATTCATCGATTTATTCCAAATGATCGTTAGACTAAGTAAGGCACAGACTGACCATTATAAGGGTAAAATGATACCCGGGGTCAAACAGCAAAGTTACCACAGCATCACAACCAAGTCAGTAACGGGTAAATCCTCCTCTGTTTGCCAAACAAGCATTGATCCGACGTGGCATACTCCTAATGAGACGTCTAAGGTCATTTTGGTCCAGATTGTCCCATTCCTGTTGCAACGCAGCATCAAGTTCTTGGACATTGGCAGGACGTTGTTGACGTTGACGAAACCTCTGTCCAAGCATGTCCCAGACATGCTCGATGGGGGAGAGGTCGGGACTCAGTGCTGGCCAAGGTAATGTGGTGATGTTCTGTTGTTGGAGGTAACCTGTAACGATCCTGGCCCTGTGACATCTTGCGTTGTCATCCTGGAAGATGAAACGGCGGCCATGACGTCGTGCGAACGGCACAGCATGGACTGCCAAGATGTTGTCCCGGTAGTACTGGCCTGTAACACGCCCTGCAACAACATGTAAAGCCGTTCTTCCAACAACAGTGATGCCTCCCCACACCATAACAGAACCACCCCCAAATCGATCATGTCTGATGACGTTAACGTCTTGGAAGCGCTCGTTTCGACGACGCCACACCCTCCTAAGTCTGTCCAACAGTGAACCTTGACTCATCTGAAAACATCACATTGCTCCAGCGTCGATTATCCCAGTGTTGACGATCCCTACACCAACGACGTCTTGCCTGAATGTGATGATCTCTCAAACAAGGGATCACGCGAGGACGTCGGGCGCGAAGGTGACCCCTATGCAGTCGATTCCGAATCGTCTGGCCACTCACTCTCACATCAGTGTCTGTTTGAAGACGAGCGCTGATCTGATTTGCTGTGATGACACGATTTCTCAAGGCCAAGGTACGGATAAATCGATCCTGGGCTTGAGTTGTCGCCCTTGGTCGACCTGAGCGTGGTCTGTCCTGTACAGATTGTGTATCACGGTATCTGGACCATAGCCTGCTTATGACAGACTGAGAAACATTCATCGTCCGCGCCACAACCGCCTGTGTTGTGCCGATCTGTAGCATGCCAAGGGCACGTAACCTTTCATTTTGGGTAAGCCGACGCATATCAAAATTTGTTTTCTGGTCACTAAAACAATTAAACTGATGTTTCCACCCTGGAATTCAATGCCACAATGACTGTAACATTCAAAGTCAGAGTCGTGCAAATCTTGGGTTGGACCCCCATGATGATCCCAAGCATCACCTGCATTCCATGCGGTAGCTATTGGTGCGTTTGGGCGTCACATGTAACTGGAAATGTTTCTTCTGTTAGGTTCTATAGTGACTTTTTTCGTAGTCATTTGCATATTTTAGTATTATGCCCCCAAAATCAAATATCCCCTACTTTTTTTGAATAGTATATATATAGTTTTTAAACATAACCAGAAACATAATAATCTCACGCTCGTCACTTATATATTTTTATGGTAGCAATACAATAATGACTTATTACATATTTCTACATCATATTATTACATCATACACGTGTAGTATTTGAAAGACTTGATATCTACAACCATTTTTCAGTGCGCTTCAACATATATCATTCATTCATTTAAATAAACAGGACACACAAACCCGAAAACTATCATCCTGTCAAGAATCTACGTATGTACAAAAACAAAACGAAAATAGATGTACATGTAACAAACAACTTTGGTTGCATTTCAGGAATGTCAGATTGATATATATATGTTGTAGTTATTAGCACCCTTTCCGAGGTGTACCGGTGAATATCAGGACAGTTTTGGTCGAGGGGCCCAGCCGAGGCGAAGCCGAGGCGGCCCCCGACCAAAACTGTCCTGATATTCACCGATACACCGAGGAAAGGTGCTAATAAGTTACTTACATCACATTTCTATCGAGTATTGTGAACCAACATGTGAAAAATAGTATTTATCATCGAGTCGTTTCAACCGAAAAGTGACAAATACTTTCTGCTCTTTCATTATTTATCCCTTTCTGAGCCTCACGTTACATTTCATGGTAGAATGATTTCGCTGTGGAGAGACGACCTGAGTAGTATTTACACGTGCGTCTTGCTATGATACTCTGAGCGTAAAACAATCACGTGTTTGTTTAGACAACACCGTCAAAACATCTTATCTATGGCGTAGAGGACTGCGATATTATTAAATGTAGTGTAAAGGAAATGCGAAACGTGGGTCATTCCTGGTGAAAGTATGCATCGGCGGATGGTTCTTCCGTTGAAATTTATTTGTAATAAAGTTTATGACTTTCTAGGCGTTTTTTTCATCCTGCTAATTATCAATGCCTGTGAAGTGTCCAGCAAGAGAACTGCGCCTTCTATCATCACAATTAATTAAAATAATTATTCAATATTCTAATATATATATTTTGCATATTAATATAAATCAAACCAAATTATAAAATAGATGCCAATTGATATGTATAATAATTGATTTTTGTAATATGTTGTTATGTTAATTTAATGTCATTGTATATGTTTTTGAACTGCCATGTAGTTCCCCCGATTTTGTTTTGTTACTATTTTGACTAGTTGTTTCATGTACATTGGTTAGAGCCATGGTCTTCATTTGCGATCTGGATCGGACTAAACGTCCGCTACTGATTGCTTGATAGGTATCTAACACGGTTTAAAAGTATCCGTGTATCAGAAATGAACAGTACTCTTTCTGTACATTACTGATACACGGATACTTTTAAGCATGTATTGCGATTAAACAGGACAGTTTTATCAAAGGTTACCAGTGGCAACGAGTAGAAGTTGGATGTAAATATATATACATGTACTAAAACTAATACCCAGGAAAATAAATACTTGGTTTATCCCAAATAATCAAAATGGCCCTGACTATCTAACTATCCTATATTACAATCATCTTATTTTATTGTATAATTCATCTAACGAAGAATTAATCCTTGATGTGCATCATTACATAATCAACTTATTAATTAGGGTAAAAAAATAATACCTGTGTTTACGGTTATCCAACCGACCCTATTCTTTTCAGCCGAAATCGCCGTACTATAGACAAAATACACACATTGTACAACGCGGTCATGAATTCTCCATATTATTCATGAATAATTATTTAATAATTTCCGTGGACAAAAATGTAGGTACACGAAACTTTTTTTAAAAGACTACATGTAAGTTTTCTTTTTTTTTTAAATTTTTTTAAATTTTTTTTTTAAAAGTAGCTGCATTCAACTGTCTTAACGATATAATAAAAGTAGAACATTTCCCGTTCATAAATTCCCCATCAATCGCGTGGTTATACATCTGTATAATCTAATGCTAAAAAAACCCCTCAATTTAATACATCTACATAATATAAATGGCAAGCAGTTGTTTGATTCGAGGCACGTCACGTTACATTGCATAATTATATTATGTACATTGATTGCACTATTAGTTAATGTTAGCTAGTTTGTAATTAATATAACATAATATTATTCCAGATCATGAGAAATATCACAATAAGTTAAAAATAGGTTGTTCAATTGCAATAGATATAAAATATAATATTATTCCAGATCATAAGAAATATCACAATAAGTTAAAAATAGGTTGTTCAATTGCAATAGATATAAAATATATATAAAGATAGGTAGCCAGGCAACGAAACATACGCCCACAGCAGCTAAGTCGTCTGGGCAGTCAACAAGGGTTGTCGGATATTTTTTCTTTTGTCAGCAATGAAAACATTTACAAAACACTAAAATCTGATTACGTGTAATAACCCATTAAATAATTATCAGAAATCATTAGAATTTGTTTCGATTGTTTGTCTCCTGACCTTCAGAACTGTATATTAACTTTAGCCTCTAGCGTGTCCACAAGGTTTCTCAAGTGATTAAAGGCCGTAACTCGGGAAGTAATTATCGGAAATTGTTGAAAATCAATAGGTTTCTTCGTCTCATGATCGTAACCACTGTGTATAAATTTAAAGTTTATCAGATACTAAAATTACTCTGGCAATAATTATCGGACTACTTCGTCTCATCAACGTAAACATTGTGTTCATAAATCTAAAGTCTATCGGATATTAACTTTTGTCTCCAGAGCACCAACAAGACAGTTTAAAGTGATCAAGGGCCATAACTCAGACAGTAATTATCGGAAATTGTTGAAATCAATAGGATTCTTCGTTTCATGACCGTAAACACTGTGTATAAATTTAAGCCAATCGGATATTAACTTTAGCCCATACAGCGTCCACACGATTTTTTTAAAGTGATCAAGGGCCATAACTGGCAGTAATTATCGCATGACCATAAACACTATGTATAAATTTAAAGTCAATCGGATATTAACTTTAGTCTCTAGAGCTTGTGGACGGACGGACAGACGAGGGCGACGGCAATGTACGACCACATTTCAATATGGGCGTATAATAAAAACAATTATTATGCCTAAAATACGCTGACCAGGTCAGATTAACCAATGCCTAAACCCTTTTGTCAATCACAAAATGACCTAAGCAGTACGTATTGAGCGGATGGGTATGGGCACCACCCATCACTAAGGCTGACCTTAAAAATATCTTTGTTTCGCCTAACGCGACCGACTAACTAAAACCACCCCCGACTTAAATTATTTTATTGCACTTTTCCGCGATCTTTTTATTTTATTTTGTGTGTCAACCTGAAATATATCACGAGAGTTATTTCCCTTTACTATGGCTATGGTTTGATTCATTATTGAAACTGGTTGATCAAGACGAAAGCGTCATAGGTGTCGCTTCTCAACAAAATGGTTGCAGACGAAAGCACGTCCATTCCCACGAAATGATTCTGCCTCTATGTCTGTGGGGCGTCGTTTTAAACATGACGACGATATTTTCAATATCCGTTTTCGAGAAAAATAAAGGCACAACCCGCACGATCGTTAAAAACGTGTTGAGGGAGTTTCAAACGTGAGTTTGTCGCAATTTGTGTGCGAGTCGTGCATCAAGAAAAATCCCGATGTCATTGATTTGTTTGCCAATAAAAGAAGACGAATGTTTGCACCCGGAAAATTATCAAGCTGTCAAATTAGCTCTTAAAAAAAAAAATCTGAAAAAAAACCCGACCTACCGACCCTTCTCCTCGATTGTGGGTCGGGTTTGGTGAAACAAAGATATTTTTAAGGTCAGCCTAAACATAACTCTTTTGATATTTTATTAGCATGAATAAAACAGGAAATACCCCATCTTAATTTCTCTCTAATATTCTATTTATCTGTGATAGTGAATGAATCACAAAGTCATGCGATGGTGAAACTTATCTAAGCGTTACAGACTATGACATGTTTATACTAACAATTGCACAATTAAATAATACCAGAGGGGTCTTTAGCAGTGGGAGGAAACCGGTGAATAATACCAAAGTTCCAGTAATCAATACAGACAAAAATAAATACTTAGAGTTATTAAATATTAAACAATAGCTGCCGTAATTCAAAGGCCTATAAAATCTGTCGAGTTCTAATTTTTAAAGAGGTATCTTACAAATGTTGTGTGGATAAAGTAATTATTACTGTATGTGCTGAGTGGTTTGAATAAAATATGTCTTGACATCCCGAATGGGGGGTTAGGTGGCCTAATGGTTAACGTGTGCGTGTCGCATCATAAGGTCTGACATTGAATCAAGTGATGTGGTTTCGATTCTCTGCTTGAACGTGACAGGGAGTAGGGTCGCTCGTTAAACCTAGTGGGTTTTCTCCGGGACCTCCCATTGCTTAAGACCTCTACGCGCAAGCGCATTATTGTATTGGAAATGAACCATGTTAGTCTCAAAATAACCTAGTTTGTCTCGAGTGGACGTTACTCCCCCACCCCCCTTCTTAGCACAAATACATGTAAGAAGAGACTAAATAACCAAAATAATCTATGTGTGTAATATTATTGTAAAGCATTGTAATATTCACGAATAACATTCCATACTATTAAGTAGAACAATCTCTTTTATATTTATTGGTCCTGGGCATCTGAAAAATAAAAAAATACATGTACGTTTAATAATCTTGACATTTTGCCATTGCTGTCACAGTTTTGTAAATGTCGTATTACGAGCGTGCACTCTATCTATTCGACAGTGGGTTATATTTTGCATACTTTTATTTTTTACAAGCTTAACGATAAGGTTTGTTTGTTTTACCTGTGTGACAAATTGATCAAACAAATATATAATATGACCACGCGTTAAAATGACGTACATGTACGTTTATATTATACACTTATAATAAGTGAGTTTTTAATTACCCGTTATTATACATTTATTTTCATGTTCCCTAGTAAGTGACCCAAGTCACACAGTGCAGTTAATAATAGGATTTTTCTTTGGGTCGCCTCTAGTCTCCTAATCGAATGTGAAAGGCTACGATATGCAAACATGATTATAAACTATTCGCTGATATTATAACTATAATATTAGATGAATATTTTGTATGATACAATGTACCTGAAATAGCAAACATGTATCTCTTCTGGTCCCCCATTTCGGACATCCCTGTGACATTAGTTCCAGATTCCCCTGAGGTGGAGGGGGTGGATACAGGTACTGAACCAGAACTTGAACCATTAGAAAGATCTGACCCACCAGTTGATACGCCCGAGTCGGAAAGTACTTCTGGGTGCTCCTCAGTCGCTTGAACAGTATACCGAACATTGCGGTCTACTCTCCGTTTCTTCCACCAGCGAATGGCCACGTAAACACAGGCTCCAAGTATAATTACACCAAGAGCGACGACAAGTATAATTACCCAATGAGGTAGCCCTGTAGAATCTTAAAAAAATAAATAACATAAAACAGTTCGATATGTTTTTTAAGTATATAGACTAAGATTCGAGAGTGCCAATTACAAGATTACAACTGTTAAAGATCATAGTTCACGAATTTGTAATAAATGAATACTTTGTTACTCATACATATTTATTTCATACCTGGATCATTGCTAGGTAAGGTCGTTGTGGTCCTAGACACTCGTTCGTAATATGCTGTAATAAAACATATCGAATAAATAAAATACAGGTATTTTAACACAATACGGTAACAATTCCAGGACTGTGATCATATTTTTTGCTTTATAAAATATAGACGATTATCGATTGTTTACAGTGAGATTCTATCTCTAGTCAAGCTACGATACATGTAGGCTAAACTCTAAACAGAAAGTGTTACCACTCCCACTGATAGAAACGTATCCTAAAGCATTTGAACATTGAAAGTGTTTACTATCGAACTTCTACACTAAGTTTTTACCACTCCCACTGATATACTCAACTATAGTTGACACACCGACGTGCTACATTGTAGTTACTTTAGTTTATTGCACGTTATCCCTATTATCAGTTTCTAATTGAATTATAATATAGTAAATACAACGTTGTTTTAAACCGAGAAACTGGTTATTAAGCTACATCGATCATAGATTTAATGTTTTGATCGTGAATCAGTTAACATGTTCTATATAGTACGACATTCGAACAATCAGTCCCGTTTAGACGCATTATGTACCGGTATTAAAGATATAAAGCAATATTCGACTTTTGTTGAATATCCAAACTTTGCGCTATATAACTATTAATTAATTACGCGTATTCTTTGATTAGGGTGTCAAAGAACCATAACTGGCCCCAACTGTACACAGATCTTTTAATGAAGTATGAAATTCATAAACCTTCAAACATTACTCTTTGGGAGGTACCTGGTGCATCATAAACTCCGTAGGGATTACCTTGTTCTATCACATGTAAACCTCACTCACCTTTAAAAAGACACCATTATAATTACGAATAAACATCCAATGTAACAAATTGATTTACCTGCACACGATGATTCCTTTAGACAATCGGATAATGTCCCTCTTGCCTTGGTATTGTTACAAATTGTTGAGCACGGAGAGCACTTGTCAATACCGTCATTATATGTATCCGGCGGACAGTCTGCAGACGGCATCGCACGTTGTTCTAGTCGGTTCTTTATGCCTGTCAATAACCGAGATTATATGAATGCCGAAACAAATATTATAAACCCGATCTTCAATCTCCCGCTTGTATATATTCCACCTGTCCTTACCCTGACCGCCAGAATCGAACTAAACCGCGATCATAATTTACCGGTTGATGTCTGCTTTCTCTAGACAAGTGCGCAATAGTGAGAAAAAGTAGTTCCCCGGTCGAAAAAACCGGAAAAAGAACAAAAAGCCGGCATCATTCTATTTTCGCGTGCAATAAAACCCTTTGTATTCTGACATACTGAAACGGTTTACAGCTTCGTCGATTATAAGTCATTTTGGTGTGTGAAATGTATTCATGCACACGTATCGGCCACCGCTCAGTGGTTATGAATGAAAGTGATTTTGGAAAACCCCTTTCTATTTATAGTAAATGAAATGAAAGTAGGTTTAATGTCCTACTGTTCTGGGGGTGGGGTTGGGGTGGACGGCCGAATGGTTAGCGCTTTCGCGCTGTATCATTAGGTCTGTCATTGAGTCAACTGGCGTGGTTTCGATTCCCTGATTGTACGTGACCCCTACGCACAATGCTGGGTGTATTTAGGGGCTAAGAAAGAGAAATGTGGTTTAAAGTCCACTCGGGACTAACATGCGGTTCAGTTTTATTTCAATAATTCGCCAGCATGTAGGGGTCTTTAGCAGTGGGAGGAAACGAGTGGACCAGGAGAAAAACCACGAGGTTGGACAGACGACCCTACTCCTTGTCACGTACAAGCAGGACCCACCCACCCTCCACCAACTTTATGATGTCCGAGAACAAATTCAAGCATGACAGAACATGACTCTTATCACTGTTATGGATCGAATCAAAATCAAAACAAGCCAACCCCCTACTTCAGTCAGCTCTGGACGAAATGAAAAATGCCTGAATTAAATGGAGTAATCAAGTTAGATATGTTCTAGAGGGGACTGGACTGGGTGAGTTGTATGAACAACCTATCTCTCAGTCTTTCAATACAGACGCTTTTCTACAGATGTTCAAACAAAGATTGAGGGATATGTTCAGTCTTAGAAATATATTGAAAAGGGACGAATTGTTAAAAACTTAAATAATTACCTAAAATCTAACACAAAAATGATTTTTATTATAAAATTAAGACAAATTATGATACTGAGAAATACCTGGATCTACCAGATGAATAAAAAGGCCAGGCACTGAGCCGGAATAGAGATAGGAAGGCATAAAAAAACCTTTCGTCCACAGGGATAAGAGGATCTGTAAAAATTGTACTAGCGGAAAAGTAGAAGATGAAACGCACAGTCTTCTCCATTGCTCCACCCACAATAATCTTCGGGAAAAGTTTTTAATTCATCACCACATTAAAACTAGTTTGTATAATTCAAGAATGCATGTAATGAACGCTGATAAAAGTATACAAGATGGTGCAACGTTCGTATATGAAATGTTTAACAATAGACATTAAATACCATTTGCTATGTAAGACCTAATATATACCTTACAAGCATTATTAATATAATTTAATATACTTTTAGAAACCTCTGTAAACTTTGTATTGTATGCTTTACCATACTCGTGTAATAAAGCATTATTATTATTATTATTATTCATCGATATCGATGTTTTTGTTTTATTTATCAACGATGCATTATAACGACAGTAGATGAGAATTGGTTTGCAGATCAACATTCGCAAAAAAAAAAATCACAATTGGCGCGCGGGCTGATTTTCCTTGGGGTAGTGGTATAATTTTTTTTTGTACGAAAACTACAGCGGTAGCGCCTGAAAAATGAACCTACATGACTTTACCACAAAATAACCGAAGTAAAATCTCGAAAATTAACGGCAAGTAGCGCCTAGCGGAGCGAAATTTCTGGAATTGCAGTTTGGGTTTCAGAACTACATGTAGACAACCTGAATCAAAATCAGAATTATGTTTTTTCCTGAAACATTAAACTCCATTGGCAATTGCATCACCCAACTCAATGGACAGTGAAAGTCCCGGCACTTCATTTTGCGGAATAGAAGAATTTTAACATTTTTTCCTGCCAATTCCCGAAAAATTTGATGATCGCCCGAAAAAAATTGACGAACCCTATTGATATTCAGCGTTGCGCAAGCTTCTGTTCTTGAGTTCCCCTCACTTGCCAAAAACCCTTCTTAACTTGATAATGGCTATAGTTTTTAACAGATGTTCATTTGAATTCGATATGAAACATTGGGACAATGAAAGGGAGGGCTCTATCATTTTAAACAGTAACAGTTGTCGTCCATCTCTAAGAAAATGTTGGTGTATATTACACAGCAACCGCTTGCTGATTTTGCGGTCAGCACTAGGAGACTAGTAGGAGACTAGATTTCAGTCTTCGGACTGACATACATGTACCCTCTCCTGTGATGGATCTCCGTACACACTATATAACAATATCACTAAAATCTATTTCTAGAAATACCTGTCCTTGAACTTTAACTATTTATTGCTGAACCTATTCCAGAAAACAGCTGCGAAAATGGATTTGCGGACCTATTATATTTAAATTAAAAGGGACTTACCTGTCCCGGCTTCTACATGTACATTCCTGGATTGTGTAGGCCACTGAATGACTGCTACATCTCTCGATTGTGTGTACCAGTTGCCACATCCCTGGTTTGTGTATATGGATACTATATCCCTGGACTGTGTACCAGCTACCAGATCCCTGACTTGCGGAATGTCTGCTACATCTAAGAATTTTGTAAAGACTGCTACATCCAGTTTTATACCCACGCTATGACTGCTACATTCCTGGATTATGTATTCACTGCATTCAGAAACGACGCATTTTTATATCCACATCATTAATCACGCTTTTATCGACCAACATAATAAAACTCAGAGTAATATATACCATCTTATTTTAGCCCAAGACAAACTTACTACTGAAACATTGATAGTTATATTCAAGTATAAAGTTTAATCAGGATCAAAATACAACTGTCAATGTCAGCTATTGAAATTTTATAAGAAACAATCACATAGTGTAACAAGATACGACCTCTGCATAAATTCTAATGCTGCATACATTCCCATATATTCTTCCTCGATTTTAAAGTACATTATATTCCAGAAACACATTATAAACAAGTCCTTTTACTAAAATATATTATCTTGGCTCCATAAATCTTGTTTTACCACACAACCGTTCTCCTTTGAAACATTACTTCACGTCTCACGACAAGCATGGACAATTCTACTGCTGGTTATCACAATACTCACGCAAAACTCACTCGTGCATAATTCATCAAGGACAGTTTATTCCAACAGTCAAGGAATACACCTGTAAAAATCACTCCAACAAGATTACACATCCATAAGGGAGTAAAAAGTGATACACAATTACTCTTACCAAATAGGGAGTTAATGGCAATAAACAATCATTCCAACCAGATTAAACATCAAATAAGGGGTCATAGGTAAAATACAATCACTCTTAACCAAATTAAACATCAAATAAGGAGTCATGGGCAATATACAATCTTTCTTAACTAGATTAACCATCACATAGGGAGTTAAAGGCAATACACATTCACTCCAACCAGATAACACATCAAATAGAGGAGTTGTGGGCAATACACAATTCACTCCAACCAGTTTAAACATCCTATACTGAGTTAAAGGTGATACACAATTACATTTTCTGATATAGCTTTCTGTAATGTTTCGTAGGATATAGTCTTCCAGACCGTCAATAAGGCGATGCACAATTACATTTCCTGATATAGCTTTCTGTAATGTTTCGTAGGACATGGTCTTCCAGGCCTGTCAATAAGCCGGAGAACGTCCTTAGACACTTTGGTATGCCCGTAAAAGAAGCGGCAGTTGGGATTCTGAATTAGAATAGGCTGTAGCGCCGCTGTCTAGGCAAAATTTCTTTGATAGTACACCCCATGTCATATGCCCGTCTTCATTGGCCCTGGTTCGTGCAGAAGTAGGATCATTTCATTTCTTTCTGATTAAATGCTTTTATCTTGGGTTGGATTGAGTGATCTACCGGACACAATCTGGATGCAAGACAAGAAGCAGTTTATTGAAAGATACATTATGGGAGATTAGATAACAAGTTGGCAGTTCTCACTATAATATTTAAAAACTATATAATGTAAAGGGAAGTTGCTGAAAATTTCATTCAAATTGATCCACTATGAACCAAGAAATAAGCGATTGAAATTTCCGCCTAGCCTTGATCATCATTACTAAAGTCAGTACGATAAACAGCATAGTCTCGAGTATCCATTAAATCGTGAAGGAAATTTATGCAGTAAATCGGCTTATAATCCACTAATGATCGCAGGCTAACGATGCCATCGAGAGTTGATTATGGTCTTGATAGGTTAATTAATGTCTAATTAATAATTTAGATTACATTTCTGGCATAAATAAAGACCCGCAATTTAGCTCTTGCATAATGTATGTTTTAACTCAAAACAACTTATATTCAGCATCAAGAAATGACAAGATTTGAAATTGTTCTGAGAAAAGAATTACGTCACTTATTTTATTTACAATTTATTCTTCATTTACACAGCCTCTCAATACATAAAATTTACATATCTGTGCACACCTTAATTCATAAATGTTTACATAATTTTTCAATCCTTGCAACATATTCACAGACATGTGGTACTGATTTGATCTCATAGAATATGTTAACTGTTTTTACAAAAGTAACACTGTGATTTCTTGAGCAAATATTTTTCTGAATATCTGCCAGCACTTTTTGTTGATCTGGGGTTAAGTCTGGGAAATGCACTGTTTGTCTTATCAAACCTTGAATCCTGAGGTCTAAGATGCGGGACGGACAAATGTAATCTGAACTCTTTCTGTTTCTCCATAAACAATGTAATAGGCCTTTTTATAGATATTTGTTGATGTAGTTCGGACAAAATAATTTGCAGTTGTGGAACATATTTTATTTGAGTTTTTCTGTAATAGGAAGGTTACTAAATGAAACTTTTTTTACAAAATAGAGGGGTTTTTTTTAAGTTTTTAACTCATCTTTCTTGGTTTATTCACAACTGAGTTCATGGTGGAAAATACATTCCTGATCAGGATATCATGTTCTGTGATCAAGATCTGACTACTACAAAACAAACATGATCCATTAAAAGCAGAAACAATCACATTCTGTTTGTGAATGAATTGGAGTTTGATCTATGTGTATCAATTGAATCACTTATTACCAGAATATTTCCAATATACACCTATATATCCACACTGTCCAAGAATCACATTCCCCAAAAAATTCTGATCATAATAAATCTTGAATTTTAACATTTCGTCTGACAGCATTAGAAAATCCTTCTTTAAAATGAAACCAAATATCTGTAGCTAGAATCTCACTCTTTTTCTCATCTGCAAGAAATAGATAATTGAATTAATCCGGATGTGAAAATATTTAACTTTCCCATAATGTTTCCAATGCATCATGACTTAATTTCTTGGACTCACAGAACACACAATCTTGTTAGTTGCATAGCAGCAGTAGTAGTGCTGGCACAATAGATCGTTGAATCGATGCATCGTAATTCACCTTCCTACAATTTGCATATTGAATTGTGACACACTGAATTGATGTATTATTATTTAATGATAATCCAGTCTGATGCTGTCTACGAGTAGAAAATTGATGCCTAATTAAATATAACTTTGTTGAGAAAGTTTCTCAGAGTCTAGTCATTTGGATGGTACAAGAAACAGAGATCAAGTGCAATCATTAGTGTGTGCATAACAAAATTTCCCTCATAGCACATTGCATGACGTATGCCTGTCTTCATCAGCCCGGACATTAAACACACTTTCATTTCATTTTAAAAAAAAACCCCAAAACCCTTAAAACTAAAATATCTTAATAATGTAGCCATTTCATCAACTGAAAGCTGAAATCTGTGATAGGATTGGGTGTATTTGAACAAAATATTTTAGTTTAAATATTGGTTAATAAGTATCCTGGAGAAGGCATGTTAAGTTTACCTTTCTTTTCTTGTTGTTTTTCTACTTTAACTTCTCGCTTGGTTTTTGTAAAATGACCAAAAAAATTAACCACCTTAAATACAATATGAAATTAAGTAAGCGGGCACATTTTTTTTTAGAAAACTCATAAAATATTAATGGTTAGGGAAATCCCAGTAATTCAGATACAAGAGGTCAAAGGACAAGGACCTAAATCGCCCTTCTGTTAATTACACAATCCGATTGAAGCACAGGTTCTATTTTGTTTCGTTTTTTTTCTAGTTAAAAATTTCGTTTCACTTGTCTTTACTACACAATGTGAGGAATTAGATTAGCCAATGAAACAGTCTGTTACGAGTTCTTGGCATGCTGTAGAAATGACAACGCTGATTGATTAATCAATGTCGGACATCATATGGTCAAAAGCCGCTTGTATGAGCCCTGACATGACCTTTCACCACAACCGATCAGATCTTTATGTAGTCTAGGCCATCGAAAGTATAAAAAAAAAATGAAACGACATATAGATCTGTATTTTAATCAGATTTGTTAATTACACGAATGTGAGTGTAATGTCTTAAACCAAATTCTATTGCAGTAGAATAAATCAGAGGCTTGGATACCAGTTTTCACAATTTAGAAACATCCCCTCCTAAATATATTTTAATAGTATTAATACAAATGAAATAGAAACCGTACACATAAAATATAGACATATGAATAAATGGTACCTTAAAAATAAATGGGAATTATTTTGTAGATTATAAAAATCTCTATTTTATGATCCCCAACCACAAATTTCTAGCTTGATATTATACGGTCGAAGGGAGATAATTCAGAGTAAAAATGGACTGGGACTTGTAATTCTCTTCCTTTTGACGTTGATGTTAAACCCATGACACTTCTTGAACTAACAATTTTTTAACAATATCATGAGCACAATTACAGAATCATCTGATATAAATGTTAAAGAGGGAGCGGGAGCAATGTTTAGATGATTTACCCAATTCATATATGAGTATGTTGCTTATTATCAATACATTAACTAACTTTGTTCAAAATATTTATACATGGACTCACTAAACAGGATACAGATGTCATAAATCATATTAAAATGTTACCTTATCACGAGCTAAAGGTTTAGCTTGTAATGTCTGTAGATGATTGGGTAAAGAGGGATTATCACTAGAACTAGATGATGCTTTACTTGTTTTATTTTCTACTGATTTCTTTTCTACTCTGAAAAAAATGATTTAAATAAAAAAATTTAGTAACAATGCTAAAATCATGATGTTATTTTACTGTACCATTATGTGAATTATTCTAAAAGGAAACGTCATTTCAAATATATAACAATACCGACTAAGACACCAAAGGAAATGGATATAAAATCTAACTAAATTACCAAATCTGACAGTGGCATGCATAAAAGACAGAAAATCTAGTCTACTATCATGATCCGGTTTCTTCTCCCTGCTAAAGACCCCTACACGCAAGTGAACAATTGAAATAAAACTGAACCATGTGTTAGTTCAAAATGATTTAGTTTGGGTCGATTGGACATTAAACACCATTTTTCTCTCTCTACTATCGTGAACAATGTAATAACAGTAGGGGATAAATGAGAACCAAACTGCTCTATCTATTGAGTCAACACATTTGAACACTGTTGGGAACAATCAAGTTTAGAATATAGTTTGAAAGTGCAGTGCATGCTTCCCCATGCCCCTCCCCCTCCCCACACAAAAGAGTTTGTATTCTTTGTGAAGTCATACAGCCTTGCTGTGACATAAAATTATGTCCCTGGTAACGCTAATAATAATCGCACAATTTTGATTTGCAAACAAAACAGAAGATGCAGTATGTCGAATATGTACCAGTATACAGACTGGATTGTGACATTCTACAGATAAAAGAACAAAGAGAAAAATTTTTGAAAACTTGCTGAATATTAACAACTGGAGTTAACTTGGCTTCATATCTTCTCATTTTCTCTAAATCAATCTGAAATGAAACAAATTTAATCTTAACAAGCCAACAGTGAGGCTGATGTCCCCCGCCGAAATAGGAAAATAATTAGAGGACACATATAAATTTATCACAAATTATCTTTTACAAAGAATTGAACAATCAAACAGTATATCTTTACTTATAGTCTAACAATCAAAGTAGGAGAGTTATTGTTTTCCAAAGTCACGACCAATCAAATTGCTTATCGCTCTGCTTACCCTGAGCAGAAAATGCTCATTATCAAACTTAGTCAAGGTATTACTGTAATGAAACTATACACCAAGTTTCATCAATCTCACTTAATTAGAACTAAAGTTATCGTGTCCCAAAGCATCAACCAATCAAATTGCTTATCTCTGCTTACCCTAAGCGGAAAATGCTCATCTTCGAACTCCATCAAGGCATTGACCTAATCAACACATACACCAAGTTTGAACATTCTAGCTCAATTAGGAAGAGAGTTATCGTGCCCCAAAGTATCAACCAATCAAATTGCTTATCTCTGCTTACCCTAAGCGGAAAATGCTCATCTTCGAACTCCATCAAGGCATTGACCTAATAAACACATACACCAAGTTTGAACATTCTAGCTCAATTAAAAGTTATCGTGTCCCAAAGCATCAACCAATCAAATTGCTTATCTCTGCTTACCCTAAGCGGAAAATGCTCATCTTCGAACTCCATCAAGGCATTGACCTAATCAACACATACACCAAGTTTGAACATTCTAGCCCAATTAGGAAGAGAGTTATCGTGTCCCAAAGCATCAACCAATCAAATTGCTTATCTCTGCTTACCCTAAGCGGAAAATGCTCATCTTCGAACTCCATCAAGGCATTGACCTAATAAACACATACACCAAGTTTGAACATTCTAGCTCAATTAGGAAGAGAGTTATTGTGTCCCAAAAAGTGTGACGGACAGACAGACGGACAGACAGAAGGACAGACAGACGGACAGACAGACAGACAGACAGACAGACGGACGAACCCATTTTAATAGTCCCCTGCTTTCTTCGAAAGGCGGGGGACAATAAAAAAAAAATTAGTCACATCAGTTCAGAATCAATAGAATTGAATGGGGTTTAATTTCCTGTCAACACAATGGTAATTATTATTTCAATGGGTATGTGTGCAATGCTAGGAACAAAATACCAGGATTTGAAACTGGGATATTCTAGTACAGAGTCCATTGCGCTGACCACTCGACCACCATATCACATGCATATATGTTAGAAGGAATCTTGTTATGCTAAGTAGCTCTTTTATTATACATGTACCGTATATGGCATTGCTTTTCGTCATGAGCTACTCTATCTTAAATGGGCATGCTTGTAATCTGAATGTGTAAAACCATATCTACCTCTCTAGCTATTAGTTGTTTAGCAGCATATGTCATCTGTCGATGTTGTTTCATTCCCGGAAATTTTATAATTTCATCAACTTTCCTGAAATAATTAGGACAACTAGAATCAATTCCACACCACAAATTCAGCTAAGTCTAAAAAAATAAGATATTGATCTAGAATAGAAACAGGGTGGTCTATAATAGAAGCAAAATCTACAGAACATTGATGATAGTCTAAAAACCAATGGACGTTAAATTGTCAAGTTGAATTTGCATACAAATTGAAGAAGGTATTTTGACAAAAAGAAAAACAAACAAAATGTTTATTTAAAAAAAGGTTTTATTAAATTTAAGATTGTTTATATTAAGGAATGGAGATAAGCTGATATTTAGAAGCTGAACTGATAATGTATAAGAAAAAGACTAAATGTAAAATAATTTCTACGTCAAATCTAATTGGTTCTAGGGATATGCTGAAGGGTATATATTTGAGTATAACTTACGGTTCTATGCTATAATTATATTGACCATCTTCCTGTTTTTCCTGATGATAGGTCATGTTATAAGCTATCATTATTCGTATCAAGTTAGCCATTTCTTCTTTTTCACGAGCACTATACAGTTGGGTATTTACCTGTTTAAATGTCATAAAATAGTTCAATGGTGTTTAATGGTTCATTGACAAATTACCCAAGAGACTACAGAAGAGACTCAAATACTGTTATTTCTTTTTATTTAATATGACTTAAGTTTGCAATGTTTAGCAAGAGGGGCTTGCCGAAATGCTAATTTCTTTGTCAGCAAGTGGAAAACTTGGTTAAAAAAAACAACTCAAAACTGATTAAAATATATTTAAATGACTAGGGTACTTACAGGTCTGAGTGTGGGTTGAATAATGTCCATTAGCGGTGGTATAACATCCATTACCATAGCAGTTGTATTTACAAATCTTTTAACAGTTGGTAACATATCAGCCATCATAGATCCAACTAAATTATCAGATTTGGTTTGTTTTGTTCTCATCTAGTCAAATAAAATAACTTTTGATGGTATAATTTTAAACAGAAGTTCAGTTTCACATATTTTTATATCAGGAAAATCAACCTTACGTTTTAATGTATTAAAATCTCTCCCATAAAGCTCATCATATGTAATTGAATCAAAAAGCTGGTAAACTTCTATTCATTTCATGGTTCAATAGTTTTGCTTGAAATTTAAATCAAAAATATTAATCTCAACCAAGTGTAGATTAATTACAACATCTTTTATCTGGCTCCTATTTCTTAAGTGTACCATTTACTAGCCAGCATGAGAATGAGTGTGATCTTTTGGTTACAGATCTTGCTGTATACCACCATCCCTCCACCTGCATGTATAGCATCCCTGAATTTAACAAGAATAAAATAGAGAGTAACTTCTCACTCACCTCAAATTGTGAATGTGGATACTGTATTCTAGGTGGTGTATAAGATGCGTACAGAAGATGAAATGTAACAGGTAAAAAAGGTACATATTTCATTAAAGAGTAATCTTGACTGTGATTGGTGTATCTCTGTATCAGATCAGTAAAACCTAACCATTCATTTGCTAAATTTAACTGCAACAAATTACAAGCAAAGTAAATATGTTGAATAGTCAGAAAACAGAACAAGTAAAGAACATAAGGCCATACAAAAAATATATGCTGGTTCCCAGACAACCCTTCCTAAAAATCTGATGCTGGGGGTATATGATTATCCAGTTTCATTTATCGTTGTGCGCCTAAGTTACATTTTAGGATTCAATCAAATTTCTTAATAGAGTTACTACTGTCACCCAGGAAAAACATTTGCGTGTGGTAATAATAAACACAGGTCATGCAGCTCTTTTTAAGTGACACAGAAGTATCTGAGAAACATAAAATTTCTTTAATATGGCCTAAGAAGATTGTTTCTTTAGACTAAGAATTTTTACATTAATATTTCCTTACTCTAAATATTAATCTACCAGCAACATTAACCAGCAGTTGCCATGCAAAATATGCCCATGTTTTGCAAGAGATGAATAGAGAACAAGTTAAAAAAAAGATAGTGAATTTTCGAACAATCAGGGGCCATAATCTGGGAAGTTCTGGTCTGATATGTGCGAATATCAAAAGGAAGCGAGATCTATGGGATATAGACATATATTCTAAGTTTCATCAAAATAGGATAAACATTTTGACTTCTAGATGGTCTACAACCTTGGTATTAAATACTTTTACACTATTTGCTTTCAAAGAGCGGCCATTTTGTCGGGCAGTTTCCGTCCGAAATTCGAACTCAACAATAATCAGGGTGTAACAATGATATATCTAAACTATATGTGCAAATATGGAAAGGAATTAAAATCTTTGTGACATAAACACATGATTTAAGTTTCATCAAAATCAGATAAAAATTGTGACCTCTAGAGAGTCCAAAACCTTGATATTACATACTTTAACACTATTTGCGTTCAAGGAGCGGATTCCGATTTTGATGAAATTTGAACTCAACGATCATTATGGTGTAACGGTGATATAATGGAACTGTTTTTTATATAGGATAAAAATTGTAACCTCTATAGGGACCACAAGCTAAAACGAGATTTTTCGAAAAAGCAGGGGCCATAATATAGGAAGTTACGGTCCGATATGCGTGAATATTGCAATTAACCTAGAACTTTGGGTTATAAACAAGTTTATCAAAATCGGATTTTTCGTACAATCAGGGGCCATAATCCATGAAGTTATGGTCTGATAAATGCCAATATCGAAAGGAACCAAGATCTTCTGGAGATAAAACTCTTATTTTATTTTAAGTTACGTCAAATTGGATAAAAACTGTGACCTGTATTGGGTCCACAAAGAAATAGACATCCACATGAAAATGTGGGTCTATAAAAATGATGTTCAGGAAACAATCTACTGTTTGTAGAGTCAGTAAGGAATGACGTTAAACACCATTTCAAAAATGTTTGTAGAGTCATGTCGCTGTCTAGTAGGTTCGTATTTTAAAAACATTTCTGTGAAATTTCAATGTAATATTATGATATTGCATCTAATTCATTCAAAATAAAGGACAAACATACCCCTACTAGATGAGGATCTTTTGATTTTGCCTCAAGATAATTTTCAAATAAGCCTTGTTTAACTTTATCATATTCCCCAGCTGCCTGAGCTACCAGTAAAATATTCCGAAACCTGAAAACACAAAATATAACACTTCAATAGGTCTTAACAATGACAGGAGATAAATTTGTCCATTACATTTTTTGCATCTGAAAGACTTTTCCTCCAGTTGCTTTAGTCCACGGGAGACAATTGCAAGATATTCTTTGGGTGGACAATTCCCACCTATAACTATTACAGTAGCTGCTACCTATATATTTAAGAAATTCATTTTCAATTCAGTAAACTACTTTAACATTCTGCATTCTTTCACTGTTGTATTTAATTCGTTTGACCGATTCGTAACCCATTTTCCCACGTTGTGTATCATTGTCGAAGTTAACCCACTATGCCTGTAAACCAAATTAAAATAATTACCTCACTGCAGGTGTTGTAGCTGTGGCTGCTTTTGTGGTCTTTCCTTCTGATAAATCACGTAAATTCACGAATCGATTTCTATGATGTAAACAAAACAAAACCATTTAATCAACATTTCATGTCGTTTAAGATGAAATGTACAGTTAATAATGTGGCTTCTCAATGTAACTGCAATGTGACTTATACTTTACATCTCCTGCTCTTCTATATAAAGTGCATGTCAATTCTTGATACCCTGTAATCATTTGTTTACCTATTTCATGATTTCAAGAAAATAATAACTGTACTTATACCAGCCATATTAGAATGCTAGTCTAATTATCGAACTTGAACAAGGATGCAGTTTGAGAATATTCACTCATAATGTTCCTAACCACACAAATAACAAGCTTATTTTAAATAAATGCACCTACAAAGATAATGCCATCCTCTTTAGATGGTCTCTTAATTCTAAGAACTTAAATATTTCCGAATTTTTCACCCTTGTTTTGGAATACTTGGTTCTGATGGAATCATAGTATCAGGAATAACATCTGAATGTTGGACATTTCCTATAATGAATTTAAACTGAGACTTACTGTTTTCCTCTAGGCATTGTGAAAATTTCATACCATGTTGAAAATAAGCTTCGATGTGCATCTTTTTGTCCTATACTCATACCCTGAACTGATTGAACAGTTAATTCTTTACGATTCTTTCTTACAAACTAAATAAAATAAATAACAGACGGCAAATTAAATAAAGGTTATAAAATTCTCTCTATTTTACTTCTTTCTAACAAACTGCGGTAAAAATTGTATATAATGCAAACTTTTCATGAGAATAAATATGTGTAATACAAACTTGTATGAGTTGTCTTCAAATATCATTCAGGGTCTCTACACCACAATCATGCCTTTACCATTACACTATGATCTGTATTTCCCCCAAATAGTATTTATACTCATTTCTAATCAAACATAATCAAAGTTTGTGTAAATCCTATATCCATTGACCAAGTTACATCTTACATTTTTTGTGTCTATTTCACACAAAATTTGCATAACTTTTGTGTTCATTTAGTTTTCTGTTTCTGAGAAAAGTAAATATAAATACAATTTTTAATATATAAAGATTGTTTGCTTTATAGTGTTCGGAAAAAAAAATCCATTAGGTGTAGACAGTAAGTTAAAGATACATTATGTTACAGCTAAATCTGCCTATTACAGGTCTTTTTTTTCTGGCTTCAAATGTTATATAAATTATTATTTAAACATTTATTGATATGACTAGCCGATAAACAACTCTCTGGGCCATCGGGTGGCTCCGATTTTAAGTATTTTAGAACACCACCGTCGTTCAAATAGATAATCAAGATTGTCAAGTACCATTGCTACGATAATAAATATTCTATACTACATTTTGTCAAAACACTCAAAACTTTACACAGAATAAAGTAATTTGACAAAAATTTTCAATATATTAATTTTTCCTTATCTATTTTGAACTATTCTAGTAAGAATGGCTAGCTCTTATCTAATTCTAACATAATTCATCTTTAACTGTTTTCTGTAGATACTAAAATGTGTAATTTTAAGATGAATTGTGGTTTATATACCTGTAATGTATTTAAACAAGATCTAATGTCATTATCTGTTCTTTCACATAATGCTAACAAGGCATTCATATCTGCTTTAAGATGTTCTTGACGTATAACCTATAGAAACAATTATAACATATTATCATAAATGGATACTATCCATAGTCTACACTAGTAATAAATATGTTTAGTGAATAAACTGCGTCTAGAAATCCTAAAAAAATAATTTAATATCACCAAAAATCAGTTGTGTAGTCTAAAGATAGCCATACAGCAGTCTAGTTTACAAGTGTTTAATTTTGAGTGCATAATTTAGAAACTACCAATTTAAAGTAGCTAAGTCTCTAACTCATTATCATCCAAAATCTTCAACATTGAAAACACGATTTATTTGTCAAATTAAATCAACACTCATGTTGTGATCTTACCGGAAAAAGATGGGCTTTTAATATACAATATTTAAGACAAAATAAACATTTTACCATTGGTACACCATAATGCACTTCAGCCCAAGTTGTATCAAGAGACTTAAGGGACGAGGCTAGACACATTGCACCAAATCAAACGGCGTATGTAGACTGGAATAACCAGATGCTAGAAATTTGCACTCGCTTGAGACTGCTGGCTTATTTCGCCGAACATAACTGATTTGAAATTGGAGTAAAAACGGAAACCATTGTATGTAAATCAGTTTATATATACATTCATATTACAGTATTATATGTGTTGCGACCCACTTTTGTCAATTTCTAGGTCCCAAATGTTAGCAATTTAGCTCCTTTAAGTAGTAATTAGTGAACAAAATGTACATTTCTAAACACTGCACTCAAAACTGAACACTTTAAGTAAACACTTAGCCACTGTTATACAAGTGTTTAGTTTTGAGTGCATCATTTAGAAACACATGATCTATGCAGTAATTAGTAAACAAACTGTTAATTTCTAAATGATACAATGACAACTGAACATTAACTATATTATAATCATCCTCAAAACTAAACAGTTGTATTTAAACTAGATTAGATAATTCTGAACAATTTTTAGATCTTTCTAAACTGTAGTTTATTAACATGGATGCTAAGATTGTAGATAGTAAGGTAAGAAACCAAGCACCTTTTCTTCACTTCCCAGCTAAACAGTAACCCTTCTCCAGTGAAAGCTATGAATAAGCTAAAACTATTGTTGCAATGGTTCGAAAAATCTCGAATTGGTTAACTGTCCTGCTGTAATGAATCCAAAACCATTCACCCCAGGGGGTGGGGGGTGGTATCACAGTGCTAAACAGCACTACAGAAAACCATGTGACACTGACAGTGCATACATGAATATCCATTTGGTAATTTTAGTAAAACATACAAATGTTACTGCTAAATTTAAATGCTTAATCCTTAGATGTATTTGAAACTGGCTAACTTGTTAAAATTTGTAATAAAACAACACTGGTTTGTAGGAGGCATTGAATGCCTTGGCTAAACAAGGGGTAACCATACATCACTAGGCCAGAAGGGTTTCCTAGTGGTTTATGGGATTGCAAGTATGTCTCCACATTACAGGTATGCAAATCCAATCCCACAACTGTTTAAAGTTTGAATGCTAAACAATAAAAAAAAAAAGAAATCAAACAAATTAAATTTTTTTAACTAACCTCGTAAAGTCTAGATGCTAATCGTGAAGATTCTGTTTGAGGAAAACTGAGCAACAATGCTGATTGTCGTAGTTGTCGTAATGATGTCACATATCTGTAAATAAACACAACAGTTATTGACTAATACTGTCTTCAATATTGTACAAAACACTGATGTAGAATGGTTGATTAATGACTCAAAGGATGTATGGCTCTATTCTTTGTAACATTAAAATAGACGAACATGGGGCTAAGAGCACATATTAATGTTATACAAGTGGATATAAATTAATTTATTTTAAATTCCAAAATTGAAATTTCTAATTAATTATGACTGGTGAAATATGTGAACAGCCCAAATTAATCGGCAGTCGTTAAGCCTGCTCAGTCAATTCTACACATTATTTTATTATCATTTAGTTGTTTGTGAATCAGCCCCAACTAATTAATCCTGCACTGTCTTGTAGGATATGTTTGGGTTTTTTTGTTCATTACAAATGGTGCCCGAAACCATAATGTTTTCGACTTGTGTACTGATTAAGTTAGAATGTACAATGTGTCTTAAATATTGGATACTAGGATCCCAGATTTTCATGTTAAGATAACAACATCAGTACTGATAGAATGTTGATTCTAATCTGAGTTTAGCTCCTTTAATAGTGGTTTGGGTTTTATTTTGCTTTTTTTTTTTAAATCCAACAAGATATCTGGAGCTTAAACCACTTTTTGTTAGGCAGTTCCCTATATTTGGCCAAAAGCAGTTAAGTTACACTATAGACCTGGGACTGTAAAGCGAAGTGGATGCTTACGGCTAGCCCCCAGATCCATTCATTTGATCGAATATTATGTGCATTTATTGACCGTTTATTGTGTCTTATCTGTAGGTTTGTCTTGTGTAATTGGTTATGTGTGGTGCAGTCCACCTGCACTTATTATTAACATATCCAACAGAGCAAAGGTTGAACAAATCTATTATGAACTCTGAAATTAAGCCCTGATATATAAAAAAAGAAAGAAAAACAGCACACAAATTAAAAGACACAAATAATATTAACTTACTGATCATTACATATACAGATAATAGGACGCAATAATATACCACCATCACTTTTCTTCTTACCAGGTGGTGGCACGTCGGTTTTACGGATTAAATTTAATAACATATTTATTGCTGGCTAAAAATATAACAAATTTAATAAGATAGTGATTGCTGGCTAAATATATAATAATTCTAACAACATATTGATTGCTGGCTGAAAATGTAATAAATCTACATTTTGTTATTGGGGAGTGAAGATGTGGTATCCAAGTTTTGCCAAAATGTATAGTTCAGTCAAAAAATGCACAGGGGTTAAGAATTATATTATTGTACAAAAACATCAAGTCAAATTGTACGCAAAATGTTGATCTTTCAAAGATTATCTCAAATATTTCTGTAAAAGATAGGTTGCCAGTCAACAAAACATGCCAACAGCAGCTAAATCTTCCGGGTAGTCGACAAGGGCTGGCACATATCTATGCTTTTGTAGGTAATAGCAGGAAGTACTTTTATCATTACAGTGTTCACAAAGGGTTCAAAAAAGTGAAACAAGGGCTATAAATCTAGCAGTAATTAACGGAAATTGGTGGAATTCGATAAGCTTATTCGTTTTACTAATTCAAATAATGCAAGTAAATTTAATACAGATCGGATGATAACTTTAGTCGTAAAACAAGGGTCATAACTATAAAAGATATAAGGACTAAGACTAGTAATTATTTCCCCTTATTTCATGATTGGCGAATGTAGTGCGAGTTATTGATAGACAATTTTTCCCTTATTTTTTTTCTCCCCTCTTCCTGCATTTTTTGGTTGACCTTTTGGTCAAGAATTGGAGAAAAGGGACCAAATTTGCAATAGCATAGCCGATTTGGACAATACTGATGACATTACAACTGAGGGGTAGGGGGTGTAAAGTGTCTTTCTGCAGAGCAAACAATGTGTCGGAAGTGAGATTTTGACCTCAGTCAACATGAAATCCCTGTAGCAAAAAATCTAAACGGTCAACCCCCGACAAAATTATGATGAGGGGATTCGGGATTGCCAAATGTGTCTATAAAGATTGGAACTAATGGAATGTTGAGCAAAAAGCTACAGTCTGTGATGTTACAGCCATTTAACATTGAAGTCAATGGGTAAGTAATTGCTAGTCTGAGTCCACAAACAGAAATTGCTGTAATTCAATAGGATTCTTCCTCACACTGATGTAAACAATATATAGAAATTTCAAACTGATCAGATAATAAATGTAGTCTGTGGAGTTTTCACAAAAAATTGTGGACGTCGGACTGTTGGTCGAACGGACGGACAAACGGCAATATACGACCATATTTCTATGTGGGCGTATAATTATGTATGTGTGCTGTTTTAAAACTAGTAGTTTGCAATTTTATACAGCAAGGACGTATCTCAAGAAAAAGTTCACTTATAACTGCTTGCATCTCATATACAACAACTTGAAACAATATTATAAAATCCAATATTATTGCCTTAGAATATGACAACTAAATAAAAATATGCGCTAGAAAATTCTGATTCTGAAGAAACTAAAAAGTGAATTTTGTCAAATATGCAAGATAAGACTTTTGGACTCCCAACCGATGACAATGAGAATAAGCTAGAAAACTAATAAATTTATTTACATATTGATAGCTTGACTCTGTATCCTATACTTTGCTCCTTTAGATTTTGCAATATATGCAAAAAAAATAACACTTAAATAAAATATAGATAAATTTATTACACTGATAGCTCTCTTGCGATAATATATTCTTAAAAAATAAATTGTCACACACACAACAAACATTTTAGCTAAGAATCATATTGTTTTACAAACCTGTGGTGCCCCATCTATTTCATCTATCACCAAACAATTAGGTCTAGGATCAGCTCCTAAAACAGCTTTCATCTGTGTAGCTGCCTCTAATTTATTTTTAAATACTTCGGCACTACGGTCATCACTGTTCAACAGAAAAATTATTGTTTGGCAAGGCAAGAGAAACTACCTATGTTATTGAATTAAAACATGCATGAAATCTACCCTCTAGATCACAATTATTTGCACAAAGGGCAAAGCTAAGGGCTCATGCCCGATATATTGCATTAGATTTCATTGATTTCAATCTCATTTTATATTTGTAAAGCACATACATGTACAATTGTTTTTAATTATGTTACTCATTTTTGGCTTTGAGAAAATAACAATTGTTATAACTTCAACAATTTCTCACAGTAAATGAGGATTTAATGGTCATGTAGATTATTTACATCAAAGACCACACTACTTTTTGCTTTTTCTTTGCTGAGTGTCGGGGAAACAGCTCACAGCTGTCCAAAGAATAAAATCTGGTGGACAAAATACATTTGTGTTATATACTAAATCAGCTAACATTCATCTCTACTACATTATAACCATCATGTTACATTTTATTTGGATTAAATTTAGCTAGCATTGATCTCTTTTACATAATAACCAGACTGTTCCATATTAATTGTATTAAATTACCTAGCATTCTTTTCTATTACTTTATAACCAGCATGTCATGATGCTACATGCTATTTGTATTAAAATATCTAGCATTCATCTATTTCCATTGTTATCAGCATAATATGTTACATATCATTTGTATTAAATTACCCTGCATCCATCTTTAGTACATTAACAGCAGGTGTTACATAATGTTTGTATCAAATTACGTAGCAATCATGTGTTACATATTATTTGTATCAAGTTACCTGGCATCCATCTCCATTACATTATAACTAGCATGTGTTACATATTATTTGTATAAAATTAACTAGTATTTATCGTTATTACTGGAAACCACGGTGGCTAAGACACTGGCTCGCTAGCCTGGACGACGCGTGTTCAATCCCTGCATTGACTGAGAAAGTTTATTGGGATTTTCAGACGTGGTTTCTCCTTGTCAGTGGTGCAGGACGGAGGGCGTAACAGGGACAGCTGTCTAGTCATTTGGATGGGACAAAAAACGAGGTCCCATGTAGACATTGGCGTGCACACAAAAGATCCCTTGGCAGTTGGAATTCGATATATGAGTAGGCCATAGTGCCGCTGCCCGAGCAAAATTTCCTTCATAAGACACTGTATAAAAATAAAATAAAACCAAGTACGAACAATCCAAACCATTAGACAAAATTCGAAGTCCTAAAAAAACGGTATAGGCAAAATAGTGTAATCAGCATATGGACTGTCCACCGTGTACAAAATACACGACAAACAGTGGTAACAGGTGTCCGGAAGAGTAAGCTTACCCTGCCTGGCATATGCCCGTCTTCATTAGCCCAGTCGGAGCAGAACAGTAGGACGTTTAACCCCATTTCATTTCATCTATATTACATTATAACAACCACAATATATTACATACTATTTGTATTAAATTAACTCGCATTCATCTCTATTACCATAATATCCAGCATATGTTACATAATATCTGTACAAACTTACCTAGCATTCATCTCTACTACATTATAACCAGCATGTGTAGCTACAATCTGTGCTAGAGTTGTCTTCCCTAAACCTGGTGGACCACATAATAATACAACCTATAAAAAATGCAAATATAATCATTTAAACCTTGGTTCAAAATCCCATAAACACATTAGCTTGATCGGTTATTTTCCTTACTTTACAAACATTTACCTTTTGTAAAGGTCTGTTAAATTTATCTAGCTCATCTGTTAATTCAGGTAATCTTTTCCATTTCTTTACTTCTTTCTGTTTTTTCTTATCTTTATTTTTATTGGGTAATTCTTTACCAAAAACAACAAAATCCCATAGCTTGATCCAATGAAGTAATGTTCTATTTATAGCCTGCAATTAAATAACAAATGTACATAAGTAAGTCTGAAATGTACATCATTTTGACGACATGTTTTTACCTCTAACCCTAACCAGTTAGTTCCTATTAGGACCAGTTACCACCTTTTAACTATAATAAGATTTTCTGTGTTAGATTTTGTTTTGTTGTTATATAAAAAAAATACATATTTATTATTAGCAATTGGGGGGACGGTCAAATACAAACTAGATTTCCAATACCCTGTCAACACTCCATATGTGGATATGCACAAATATCACTCCATCTCTTCAAATGAACAGTGAGTAAATAAATATACAGTGTAAGTCACTTTATATTTACACATAATTGGTGGGTCATCAAGGATTGTGCACAGACAATATTGAATTAAAAAGTCTTTATACATACACATATAGAGAAAAATATTTTTATCGTCCACTCAACACAAACCAGGTCATATTTGGGGGTAAGATATGCTACAATTTTACTTCAATAATTTGCTTCTGTTTATGGGTCTTTAGCAGATGGAGACCGGAGGATCTGGAGAAAACCCATGAGATTGGGCAGACAGCCCTATTACTTATCAAGTATTCCTTGGGATCGAAACCACACCAACTGACACTGAATGACAGGCATTATGGTCTAAAGCACATGCATAAGACCACTCGATCCTTCACAGATTTACCATATACAGTTATATTTCCATTTGAATATCTTTAATATCCTCCGTCTTCGTTAGCCTAGTCAGTGCACAACAGTACTATGTTAAACCTCATTAATATCCATTGTGGATCAGCTGACCACGTACAATATAAACGGTACTGATTGTATTACCTCTTCACTGAGTAATTCTGTATATCTACAAGGAGCATATTTTTCTACCCATAAAAATTTCTGTGGTTCAGATAAAGCTATAGGTTCTTCATTTTCTTTGTCTAAACCATCCAGACCTAAATTATCATCTATTTCCCTGTCATAAAATAACAAAAATACAGATAATATTTAACAGAATTCTGAGGATGCAGAGAGTGATATGATGAAATGGTTTTAAACGTTCTACTTTTCGGTACCAATCGTACTATGCATTGCACTATGAAGGAAATTTCGCCCATGTAGTTACATTTCTGCACATTCTTTGTCGAATTCCAACTGTCAAGAGTTCCTTTATGTGCACACCAGCAAGTACTCACACCAGCAAGTTTTTTGCCCCATCCATGAGGCTTTTTCTTGACAGATCCTCCGTCCTGCATCACTGACAAGGGGAAAGATTATATATCATTGGTAAAATCTCTTTACTACAAATTCACAATAAAAACATTTGCAAAAACAATAGATGTTTAGAAAGTACCCTGACAATGTCATAAGTTGTCTGTGACCATCAGTCTGGGGCATTAGGTCAAGGACTAAAGGTCCCACAAAAATACTGGTGCGCTACTATACCTGTTAATAGCTTCAGTAATTTTTCTAGCTTCATCAATAATCTTATTTTGTCTCTGAAAGATAAAACAACAATAAAGAATAACCAAAGGGGTCACTTAACATGAATATAATATAATATTTGAGGTTGACACCCATTCAGTCCTACACACAACCAACTTTTGGACAAATCCAGTCAGATGAGGAGAGAGATATAGGGCTTAAAGTACACTCAACACAAACTAGGTAATTTGTGGACTAACATATAGTTCAACCCAACTCCCTGTCACATATAAGTGAGGAATTGAACCACGCCACTTGACAGACCTTATGATCTAAACCCCCAGTAAAATAAGGGAGGAAACATTTAACTAAGGGTATCATATTCAAAAACATTTTCCCTATTTTTTTTAAAAAGTTTTTCAGCTTTGTCATTTATCAAAGTAAGTCTGATTTTGATAATTGTTTATTAAGATGTCTTGTATAATAATGGTTGCAGTAGGAAGTTGCATTGACAACAGCTTCAGAAACTCAACTTGAGTAACTTCTGAATAGGACAATTGGACATTCAATTACTCATAGAGGCTTGTATTATGAAAAATGAACAACTTCTGCAGAAAAAGTCATCTGCACATGCAGTTAGATCTATTTAATAAGGCCAATTCCAAGTTTGGTCAAAGGTCACGAGATGGAAACCGGGCTAGTGCGAATCCCAACCCTTACCCTAACCCTGGACCTAGCCCTAATGATTATCCTAACCTACAATCTCACCAACAATCACGTGCCCTAACCTTATTTACATCTCAGTGACCTTGACAAAAATTGAGTTGGCCTTAACGAATAGATCTAGCCCCTTACATGCCCTAAAAGGGGGCGATAATTCAAATATTCAAGTTAAAATATCTAGAATTTTGATAATGGCCCGTGATTAAAATAATGACCTGTTTAGAATTTTGTATCTGATTCTTGTGCTTAGATGTCCCAAAGTAAGACAGGATTAAAGTAAGAACCGACTTTTTGGCATCCTATCTGAAGTGTTAGTTCTTAGCAGTCCGCCTCTATAATTGTTATTAAAAGCTTTATAGAAAGCAATAATGTTTAGGACATTTGTATAATAGTCAATCTTTATAGAAAGCAATAATGTTATTAGGACATAATGTATAACGGTCAATCTTTAGATGTCATAATGACTAAGGTACATTTGTAACTAGAGGATTTGGAAATTTAGTTTTGTAAAATTAGAATATAATTACCTCCTGTTCTACTTGTTGTCGTAATATTTCCCATGGAACACTCAGTAATCCTGATATATTCCTGGTTTTACTAATCTCTACAATCTGAAATATAAAAATTTGAGCTAAATAAACATTGTGCCCATGTGCAGATATTCTTACTATAATATGCTTTATTATGCTCAGTGGCCTTAAATACCCTTGAACAGACATGCAGCAGGCTATCACTGTTAAGGGACAAGATTAAAAAAAACTAAAAGCCAAACCAGGGGCATTACATTAAACTTAGTTTTGGAACTTTATCAGTACAATTACTTTCTCAGTTTTACCAATGTTATTAATTAATGTTGCTTAGATATGAATAAATAACAACATCAAATGAAATATTTGTATCATACATTTGGGATAATTGACAAGCACGTTAAGAGAGAATTACATAAAAACAATAATAAAAAACAATGAAGCAAATATTATAAATCGGCTGGGAACAGTCCAATGACCCAGACAAAATAGGTACCGAGTCCAACTAGAAATATACTAGTTGTTTCTAAAACTAGGAAGCTTAATGCAGGCTGTCAATGTCTGTTTCAAACTTCAAAGTTTCTTTATACTGTTACCTCTTTATCAAAGTCCTCTTCTTCCTTTAATTTAAGATAAAATCTACTACCATCAGTACCAGTGATGTTAAGAAAGTTTCCACAAGGTCGAGAAGTCAGCAATCTTGATTTGTCATCTCTAAATACTTCATCTAATGCTAAAATTTACAAGCCAACAGTGAGGCTGATGTTCCCCGCCAAAATCCAAAAACAAATAGATGACATATTAATTAATCACACATTTATTTTTTTTTCAAAAGTATCAAGCAATTAAACTATACACTAATTTTCAACACTCTCTATCATAAATTGCAAATCATTCTAAATCCTTTTCATCAGAAATATAGTCTTCAGAATCGGTGTCATCGATATAATCCGAATCGAATAATTCATAAATATTTCAACCATTTTGCGCATCTTTAACGTTCCCAACATCATTAAATTACGTTTTTCGTCAAAAAATGTTGAACAAAGACATGGTTTTCTCAATGCCCTTGACAAGACAAATTCCTGTCTGAAACGCATGCATGGGCATATCAATTAAATACGAAACTAAATACTCAAATGCGGCTTATCAAAAATGTTCTTGCGGTGGTCGACTTTAATCGACCGTGACCACTTAGCTGTATAACGTTGTGGTGACTATAGTCGACAATGACCGGTTAAGGGTTAATAGTCCCCTGCTTTCTTTGAAAGGCGGGGGACAAAAATAGAAAGTATTGGTTCATCAGTTCAATTTCAAATTCTACCCCATGCTAATGTTTAGTATACAAAACATTTAATATCATGGATTTAGCTGTTCAAGTTATCAAAATTCATTGAAAATCAATATAATTGTTCGTCTCAAGACCTTAAACTCTGTGTATCAATCTGAAGTCAATCGGATGATAATTTTAGCTGCTAGAGCATCACAAGATTTTTCAAAGTGATCAAGGGCCATAACTTTTGCAATAATTATTGGAAATTGTTGAAAATCAATAGGATTTTATCGTCTCATGACCTGAAACACTGCATATAAATTTCAAGTCAATCGGATATTAACAATACCTTTTAGAGTGTCCACAAGATTTTTTGAAGTGATCAAGGGCCATAACTCTGGCAGTAATTATCCGAAATCGCTGAAAATCAATAGACTTTCTCGTCTCATGACGTTAAACACTGTGTATAAATTTAAAGTCAATCGGATATTAACTTTAGCCTCCGACAGACGGACCGACAAGAATATACGACCACATTTCAATTGCCTGAAATCGTTGAAAATTGATAGGATTTGTCGTCTCGTTAACATGAAAGCTGTTTATCAATTTCTACTAATCGCATGATAACTTTACCTTTTAGAGCGTCCAGAAGAATTTTAATAATTGACCAAGAGTGATAACTTTGACAGTTGAATAGGAGTCTTTGTCTTGTGAACAAGAAAACTGTGTAATCTAGAGTGTCCAATGGCAAAAACTCTGACAGTAACTATTGGCAATTATTGAAATACATGTAGGCTTCTTCGTAAATATATAAACGTTTCACCTATTTCACCAAACCTAACTGATTAGAAATTACAATATGTTTTTCAAAAATTGAATATAAATCACTTTACATAGATTCATATTTTAATATGCGCTTTTAGATCCATTTTATCTATATTTCAAGGCTTGAAAAAATAGAGTGATACGTCCTTTAAAGTCAACTGGATGTTAACTTTAGCATTTTGCGCATACACAAGCAATTATGGACGCCAGATAATATACAATCACATTTCAATGAAGGTGTATAAAATAAGGTTAAAGAATGCGGGCATGATACCTCTTGTAGACTGAGAAGTTTTTGCTTGATTCCGTTTTGTTATAATATTATTGACATTCCAATCATCTTTTAGCCAATCTTCATCATAGATGTCACTATTTGTTGTGTTTTCATTAATTTTGGCTGGTCTTATTTTAATGACATCTTTACTATTTTCCTGAAGTCTTTGTCGTTTACTCAGTGGTTCTGAAATAAACAAGCGGTTGCCATGCAAGATACGCCCACATTTTGCAAGAGATGGAGAAACAAAGAGTGAAAAAAAATAATGTGATTTTTTGTACAATCTAGGGCCAGTAACAGTAAGTTGCTGTCCGATATGCACGAAAATGGACAGGAACCAAGATCATTGGGTTATAAACATACATTTCAAGTTTCATTCAAATCAGATAAAAATTGTGACTTCTAGAGGGTCCACAACCTTGGTATAACATACTTTTACACTTTTTGCGTACAAGGAGCGGCCATTTTGTCTGACAGTTTCGATCAGTTTTTCACGAAATTCAAACTCAATCATCATTAAGGTGTAACGGTGATATATTTAAAATTGAACAAAAATTGTGACCTTTGTACAATCAAGGGCCATAATCTAAGAAGTTACTGACCAAATATGTGCAAATATCGAAAGGATTCGAGATCAATGCGATATAAACATAAATTTAAAGTTTCATCAAAATCGGATCAAAATTGTGACTCTTAGAGTATCCACTGTACCACACTATTTGCGTATGAATTTTACGAAATTTGAACTCAATCATCATTATGGTGTAATGCCACAGTGATATAGTAAAACGTTTTTTTTTTAAATCAGATAAAAATTGTGACCTGTGGGGGAACTGCAAGCTAAAAACAAGATTGTTCATACAATCATGAGCCATACATTTCAAGTTTTATCTGAATCGAATAAAAGTTGTCACCTCTAGGGTGTCCACAAGTCAAAAACGTGATTCTTTGTACAATCAGGGGCCATAATCCATGAAGTTTCGATCCGATACATGCCAATATCGAAGGGAACCAAGATCTTTTGGAGACAAATCTATATTTCAAGTTTCATCAAAATCAGATAAGAAATTTCAATTTGATTGTTTTATGGGATGATAATTTGTCTTTGTTCAACATTTTAAACCTGTCGACCCTACATTGTAAGCACAAACTTCAACTTTTGAGTTCAACATACATCAGATAACTCAATTAAATGCTTTATAAATCAATGAGGATTAGACTTTTTAAATCCAATAGTGATATTGATAATCAAATCAAATTACCTTTTAGTGATCCCACAGAAATAAATGTATCAAGGGAGACAACTTCATTTTTGTAAATTCATTTCAAATTCATTATTTTCTAAAGATATTCTTTCCAAATTGATAACCTCTTTTTTAACAAAATCCAAAATATGATTCATAATTGTTTGATACTGAATATTTCAATAAGAAAAATTTAAAAATGCTATTTTAATTTATTATTCAATTAAATGAAAATTAAAAAACCACTGTATAAAAAAACATAAGATAAATAGATGCTACATGTCCACCAAGAATAAGTAGATCAAAAATGCTAAGACACCATTCATGCCATACCAGATACTGCAATACAGTACTCTGGTGCCATTGATTGGTAAGATCATATCCTGATCATTACTGAAGCAGTTGAGATGAACATGTCTTAACTGTGCCGACAGGTCAGGTACACTACAACTTCCAAACATAATGAACGACCATGCAAGTACATGTAGCTCTAATAAACTTTGGTTAACATTACTAAAGCTGATTTCTGGGTGAAAATAAATGGAGGTCACTTATTCAAAACTATTGCAATACGATACATGTTCCTGAATCTACCAGTAGGCTACCTCTAGGCCTTATAACCTGGGGGGCAGATTTTCACCTTTCTTACTCACTCAGATGTTTAAATCACATAAGAACTTGTATGTTCTACATGTAGCTAAAACCTACCAATTTCTGAACGTGTATTGATTTGAGGCACAGTAAATTCTTCATCACTGTCCGTTGGTAAATCTCCAAAATCATCATCCTCATTCCTGGCACGTTTCTCACCAGATCCAACAGAATTATCTCCTGTAGTTCTAGCATGCAATAAAGATCCATTTACAGGTGGTTCTGGGCTTAAAACTGGTTCTAATAATAAACTGGAATTCAACTCATCTCCAGTTTTACCTTTCCCATGCTGGGTTTTTGCATTTGGTGTTGTAAAATTTAAAGTTCTTTTAGGTTTACAGACATCTTCTGTGGCTGTAAAAAAGATAAAGAAATACAATTTGTAAATATTAAATCTTCAAAACTCCTTAAAAATGTTAAAATGTCTGAATTTGCCTCTTTATTTGATCAAATTTGAAAAAAAAACAATACCCAAGTCAAATACCTACATAGGAGGATATATTATTATCTAAGTATAAGCTACTAAGTCCTGGTCTTCAGTCTATACTCTATGGAACAACGACAACCTCAATGGATTCAATCTGATTAAAAAGAGGACCATCAAAAGATTTTACCCAACACTTACATGTATAGGTGGCAATGGTTTGTTTTTATCGTCTGTAGTCTCGACTTCTTGATGACGCGTTAAGACGTTGAGTGTTGCAAAATTTTCAGTTCATAATATCTTTGCAAATAAAGAATGGAATTGAACTGTTTTACACTGACATTCCTCCTAGAAATTCAAACTTCACAACAGTAATGTTACCAAGGGATTCAAAATCCCTCAAGGACGATCGGCGGCTTTATTAACTTCATAACACCATAAGCCACTGTATCATACGGTCTGTCATTGAGTTAACTGGCGGGGTTTCGATTCCCCGGTTGTACGTGACAAGCGAGTAGGGTCGCCTGTCCAACCTCGTGGGTTTTCTCCGGGTCCTCTGGTTTTCTCCCACTGCTAAAGACCCCTACATGCAAGCAAATGATTGAAATAAAATTGAACCATGTGGTAGTCCCGAAATGACCTAGTTTGTGTCGAGTGTACGTTAAACCCCATTTCTCCCTCATAAGCCACGCCCACTTCGCACTGGAGGAACTCAAGTTACGTAGATCTAAAACATGATATCAGAAACTTACGTTCATCATCGAAGGCAGCTAAAGCATCGAGTTCGTCTGCATATTCAAATTCAAACAATCCGTTATCCATATCATTGACAATGAAATGGTTTCATAAACTTTCTTACATACACTCTAGTGCTTTGTTGACATCAGTTTCCCGCTATTATTTATATCCGGTAATGGGAGGTAACCCCATTTTAAAACCGACGGACTGGGTCATGATAAGTTGCTTGGGAGTAGGGATTGGGAGCTGTAAGAGTAATTTCATAAATTTAATATTTAGTTGCTTTAAAATATTAGCTGCTGTTAATATTAACATATCGTAATATATTTAAATAAATTAAATTTGTTTTATAATACATGTAAATATCGTCATCTAAACTAGTAAATATGCCATACAACTGCGTTTATCAGATGGTAACGATAATTGACCGACTAAACCCTGTGTAGGCCTATAATCACAACATGGATGTACAAAATCAATTAAAATGATTTAAAGTTGTTAATATGAGACATAGTAATTCTTCACTTAAAGTGGAAACTGCATATTTTTAAGTTATATTTTTAAAATTTATTTAAATAAAGCCTGAAAATAGATGATATCCATAAACAGTCCTACCTTGTTAAAGAATAATCCTATTAATCCTATATTTCACTATTGCCAGCTGGGAAATTGGCAAAAATATCATTTTCCTCTTCTTTTTTAAACGTTTGAAAAAAGCTACTCCATGGTGGAGAATAGAAAACAAGGGATGTAATTGTGTTATTATTTCCTGTGTAAATGAGTTGTGAGTGTGAGAATGACACCTATGATCGTATAATTGTGAGTTGACAACCTATTGAGCAAAAGACAGAAATAATTACGTTTTGACTTTCTTAGAAAATTTGCAATTTCCGCTTTAAAGGAGCTAAATCGCTAATATTTTGGACCTAGAAATTGGCACAAATGGGTCGCAACACATATAATAATGTAATATGAATTTATATAAACTGTTTACATTCAATCGTGTCCATTTAACTGTGAATTGTCATCAGTTATGTTCGGTAAAATACGCCAGAAGTCTCAACCGCAAGTCAGTTTCGAGCGTCTGGTTATTCCAGTCAACACCGATATTATTTATTGCGCATGCTCTCCAAATAAGAACATGATATCACCGTTTGACATGACTTGAGAAATATGTCTAGCCTCATTCTTTGAGCACCTTGTTACAAATGGCGCTGAAAGGCATCATGGTACACGATTCGTGTACCAATGGTAAAATGTTTATATTGTCTTAAATATTGGATATCAGAAGCCCATCTTTTCCAGGTAAGATCACAACACCAATGCTGATTTAAATTGCAAAATAAATCGTGTTTCCAATGTCTAAGATCTTGGATGATATTGAGTTACGGACTTAGCTACTTTAATTCAGATTTATTGTAAACAATGTAGGTTTAGAAGATTAGAAGAAAATAAGATGTAAAGTGAAATACATTAATAAACATTGATGTTGCCCAAACGGCGGCATAAATGAGTACAGAAAAAATCGATCGAGAAAGATGGAAATATTCAAACCTGAAACGGATTGAACAACATGCAAAAGCCTATATAAGTTCTCTCCATTGGGTCTAATATTTGATTTGGTGTGATTTGATAATATAGTTACACCGTGAATATTCCAATTAGATAGATTAGAGACATATCTGCAGTGCGAACTTTGAGAATTTGGCATTTTCAAAGTCAGTGTAATAGTTTTGCAAATGCTTTGGTTGTTTCAAAAGGTTTAACCAACGATCGCGCAAATATATTACACCAAGTAGGAGTGTCTAAAGTTATTTCGAACACAAATGTTATTCCTTTATTTTCTTGGTGAGAGTGATTTGCCAATATTCAACATTTGAAATTGTACTTTTTATCATATTATTATTTCAAATTAATACAAAAAGTATAGGCCCTACTTTTATATTTGCAAAACCAAATTACAGTACTGTTGATCTCGTCATACGTAATAAGTAAAATGAAATTGAGTATATATAAACTGCGTGAAATATAACGCATATATAGCTAATTGCATTTATATTAGTCGTTCGTACATTATAACCACTGGCTCTTAATCTACATTACGTTTTAATGTATCATATTACATTAAACCGATTATCTAGGGATATGTTTTCGGTATCCATGGGATATTAATCTGCTAGAAATGCAACAAATCTGTCAGTATTAAGAAGTTTTCGAGGAGGTTACAAGTGAACAAACATTCTGACTGATCAAACACATGACATAGGTAAGATAAACATATCGTGTCAGAAATTTATTTTGATCATTTAAATATAATAATTCTTATAAAGATAGAAAAAAGAAAAAAATCAAGGTAATCGTTCAAGAACAACGAACTCGGACGCTTTAAAGTAGGTAATAATGTGATTTTATTCTTTGATTAAAAAGTATTCATCTTGGATGTTCAATCGAGTAATACATTTGAGACCACGCACAATGTATAGCTCTTGAATTTAAAGGCGATTATAAGCCCTATATAAATGCACAGAGAATCTTTCCCCGACGCCGCTTTAATGGGGTCCGACCCACCGTCGATGGCGTCTATTTAAGACAGACCACTACGGATAATATACTCCGTTGTCAATTTAATGATCGTATGGCTCTATTTTTTGGAACCTTGAAATAGACAAAAATGGTTCTAAAAGCACATATTGATGTAATATGAATGTATATAAAGTGATTTATATTAATTCTTGAAAAAAAAAATATTGTAATTTTTTATCAATTATAATCGGTGAAATACGCGAACTGTTCAAATTGAACGGCAATCGTTTACGTCTGCTTAGTGCATTCTACACGTTTTTTAAATTGTTAGTTTGTCGCTTGTGAATCAACCATACTAATTACTTCCACATTGTGTTGAAGGATATGTTTTTATTTGTTCATTACAAAATGACACCCGAAACCATATGGTACACGACTCGTGTACTGATTATAAAATGTTAATTGTGTCTTAGATTTTAGATATTAGTATCCCATAATTTCACGGCCAGATAACAACACCAACATTGATTGGAATTGATAAATATTGAATTCTAATTCTTGTTTTTAATTTCGAATATTAGGGAAACATTGACTTTAAGGATTATAATCTCTGATTGATTAGAGCTTTTCCACTTTGAACAATTTGCACTATGAAATGTTTGATGTTGGCCTACTGATCAGTATTAATCAATTATATTTATGTGGTGTTAAAGTTTAAAGTATATTGAATTACCACGTATATTAATGACGACCATGTTATTTGATATAAATTGGATATTAGAGGAAGACAAGTCTGAGTTGTAAGATATTCGCTTATAAGCTACCAACTTCTAAACCAAACATATAATTTTTTTAAACAAACGAAGCCCCCACCCCCACCTTCCGCAAAATAACAATAGGATCGATATTTTATAATTCTTCCATTTTTACAGAAATTTACACAATCAACACATTCATTTATCCTTTTCAGAACATTTTGACGAACATGGAGGAAGGCGATGAACACAGGGATAAACATCGTCTGGAATTTACTTCCGGGATATCAGACATGTGGCGGAAAAGATTCTACACAGATCTTGTCCTAGTTGTTGATGGGAAGTATCTGAGATGCCATCGTTTTGTGCTCGCCGCCATTTCACCGTATTTTCATTCTCGACTTTATAATGGTCAGCGCGAGTCAGTCGCCGAGAAGATTTTTTTCAATGCAGCTTCGGTAAAAATTATGAACCAAGTTTTAGAATTTGTGTACACAGGAACCTGTAAAGTAAAACCGAAAAACAGCGAAGACCTACTCAAAGTAGCGGCACTATTAGGAATAAGATCATTGAAAGACAAATGTGACGCTTATTTAACTGAAACCGTTGGAATGAACAACTGCCTTAAAATGCTAAAACTCGCAACCGAAGCAAAAGCAACCAAATTAGAACTAACATCAAGAAAAAACATTCTGAATAATTTTATGGCTTTGTACCAAACTAAGGCGTTCAAAGCATTGTCGTCTTCTGACATCATATCACTTATTAAGGATAATGATCTTCGAGTACCCAATGAAGACGTAGTCTGTGATGCCGTTTTATCCTGGGCCAATTCAGATCCTAAAATGCGAAAAACAGTTTTAGCAGAAATATTTAAGCATATTCGTCTTCCACATGTCCAACAACATTACATGAGGTATGTTCTTGGCAACAACGAACTAATTAAAGAAAATAGCGAATGCGAGGAGATTATTGAAGAAGCAAAATCCGTGCATGAAGATCCTGGTAGACGTCATGAAATAAACCTATCTCGTCTTGAATATCGCAACGATGCCCGGATGGATGACGTCATTGTTATATTAGGGGGTACTGCGAATTGTGGTCGTACAGGCCAACTAAGGCAAAGTGTTTATGGACTGAATATGTCTCTAAGAAGATGGTTCCCATTGGAACCCCTACCATATGGTTTCGATTCGGGGACGACAGCTTGTAGTTGCGGTAATGACATTTACATATCTGGAGGTGGGGATTCCAGGCAGGGTTTGACACTCTATGAAAGCAGCGAGAATACGTGGCACGTTTGTGCACCAATGCTTGTTGGAAGACGAGGTCACGCTATGATTGGCCTTGGGTCTTCTTTATTTGTTCTTGGAGGGGTTATAGGACAAACGGAGGATGGACGTCTTAGAGTGACACCAAGCGTGGAGGAATACATAATGTCGTCAAATAGCTGGTCAAAGGGTGGCTATTTAACAGATGCTGTTTGGGGAATGTCCTGTGCTGTCCACGATAATAAAATATTTTCGTACGGTGGATATGTGGACAGGCATCATGCATCTCAAACTATCCAAATTTACGACCCGTATATTCAGTCATCCTGTACAGTTGGGCGACTTCCGGTACCATGTGGACTCACACGTTCTGTCGTACAAGATGACGTTGTTTCAATTATATGCCCAACAGGAAAACTGCTTCAATCACATGACTTCAAAATATTTGAACACATTGCAACCATCCCCAATTTTACACGCGCCATGTTTGGTGTTGCTATTTATGAACACAAATTATTATTATTCGGAGGAAAATATGGTAGTGACGTTTTCGATGATATCATTCAGATGGATTTGGAACATTTAAGCATGACGACGTTGCCGG